GCTTTGAAAGAAGGAAGGTAATTCACAAGGATCTTCACACCAAGTCATCATTTCCAGGGACTTTCAGCTGTCCAGATTCTTCTTTGAATTGATTATTCTGAGTCAGCATTTTAATGTACTATCTAATAGATTTTGCATGTGACCTGAAGTTTTTAGTGGAGACTTGAGCTTGTAAAGTCAGTGTTGACAGCAGAGACTTCTGCCATTTGTACTGCCAAATTCCACTATGGTACAGTTCTTCCCAAGTGAGGAAGCTGCTGGGGTGGGGTGTGACAGTTCTTGGCTGAAACGTTACACCTTCCCATCCAAAGTAGCATGCTTCATGCATCTAAAAGGCCCAGGAAGCCAAATGCCATATCTGAGCCACTCTCTAATAATCTTGTACAGCTAGAAACCTTCAGTATTAAGATTGGTGTTGCTGATGCTTGGTCCCGTGGTCTGGCCTTGGACACAGCTGCACTGGCAGCACAGAACAGTCCTACTTAGACCTGATCCAAAGCCCAGGAAAGGCAATGGGCATATTTCCAGTCAACCTCAGTGTACTATGGGTCCAGCACAAAGTTACAATTTAGGTGGCATTGGTAAAGTCATAAAAAAAGAGCCAGTGCTGATGCTTCTTGGAAGGTGAGAGACAATACAGTTCTTAGCTGTTACGAAGATACATACTGCCTGAACGGCTTTGAGGTGTTTAACCTTCCTTATGAGAGCTGGGTGTTCAGCAGCTTACTAGTTTGGTCCCTAATTGACAGAATATACTTGCGACTCTGCATTTAATCATGGTTGCTGATTGGAGTAATTTAATCAGGGAACTGATTGGGGTCATTTGGAATAGGCCCCACTGGTGAATGTCAGTAGTAAAGATGGATTGCCCAGTGGAGACAATAGCTAGTAAAAGATAGGGGTAGAGAGTAGGCAGTAAATAACTCCATGTTGTCTCGCATGGGATACTCTAGCCTTGTTCACTGACAGTTCCCTCTTAACTTCTCCGGATGTTGAGAACCCCACAGTCTCAAAATATTCATAGGGTAAGCAGTGAGGTGAGGAAGCTTGCTGATAATGCTACATTATTCAGATCTTTGAAGAAAGGACAGACTGAAGAATTCTGGAAGGCTATTGTGAGGCTTAGGTTCTGGACAATACAATCATAAATAATGTATGATCTAGGTATACGCACAGTAATGTGCATAGGGACAAATGCGATCACAACATCACCTGTGAAATTACTAACTTTGAGCTGACCTGTACCATTGAGGAGAAAGATACTGATATGGTGTATAACTTGGTGAAAGCTTTGTTTCAGTGCTCAGTGGTGGCCAGATATGTAAATCAAGCATTAGGAATAATTAGGAAAGGCACAGATAATGAAACAGGGAACATTGCCATACCATGGCACAAGTCCATGGTTTCCCCTCACAGGTGCAGTTCTGGTCCTCTCACCAAAAAGAGGATATAATAAACTTGGAAAAGCATCAAGGAGGAGCAACAAGGATAAACAAAGGTACGGAATGATCTTGACTTGAAGAATGACTTTAGAGACTAGAAGCCTGTTGGCTGGAAAAGGGACAACTTGTCAGGAATATGATGCAGACCTTTAGGCTCAGGAGTAGCATGGAGAGGTGTGGATGGGGGTCAGCCATTCAGTTTCTCTTCCAAAACCAGAATGTTACACAAAGCTCATAGCAGTCAGATTCAGAGCAAACGCAGCTGGCTCTTCATAGTGTGTAGCTGACCTGGGAAGGTTGTTGCTAGAAGATGTTGTGGATGCCAGAACTCACTCTGGGCTCAATAAAAGACTGAATAAGTACCTGGAGGAGAAATCTATTGAAGAACCTAAATATGGAAAAACCCCATCCAGCTCAGAAAACCCCCTGATGTGGAAATAGTTGCAGACAGGGAGAGTACAGAGAAGGAAGTATCATACGTGCTTGTCTTGTTCTTTCTTTTCCCTCAGTATCCTTTTGTGGCCACTGTCAAAGTCCAGATACTGGGTTCAGGGACATTTGATCTGACACAGTACAGGTGTGTGAAACTGATGTTTCTGTAGGGTGCCCCAGAGGAGAGGTCTGCAGCAGCCCCTCTGAGCTCCCCAGCAGCAGATTCCTGTGGCAGGGCAGTGTCTATGTGAAGCACCGTTACCTAGCTTGCTCTATGCCATGTCCTCTTTAGCCTTGTTTATGCAGTGTGCACTTTCTTCCAGATGTTTGCATGAATTATCTGTTAAATTGTAGAAGTGTGAAATGTGGGTTTTTTCCTTTTGTAATAAAAAACTGTTGGTAGATGTGGTGTTTGAAAATGGGGGGAGATATGTAGGCCTATCGAACTTCATTGTCATGAAAAAGAAGGAAAAACACAAATCCTTGCTTATTTCGTTTTTGAAAGCTTTGGGTGCCATCTGCTGGGTTCAGTAGGACCTTACACACTGGAGCAAAATTGCTAGTTGCTGGTTGAAAAGTGCTTGAAGAATTGAATTTATGCAGGGTTGCAGTGTCTTTGCACCTTCTGGTGCTTTTGGGTTTTTTGGTGATAATGTTTCCTAGGTCTGTGGGATGTACTCTGGCACACAGAGAAGTGCCTTCTTACAGTTCCCTTTTAAAGATACCATTCAGACTGAATTCTGTAATGGTTATCACTGTGTTTGGTCCATATAGTGGAAGGAAATAAGGATTGTCAGGCATTGTGTCCTGACCACGTACTGCAGTAGTGGAGCCCACTCTGAGCAGCATCCAGGCTATCTGAGGCTGCTGGCGACAGGGATATGCAGCCACCGGGGAGCTGGGGAAGGCTGTTTGTCCAGGGGCCCTGGTTACTGCCCCTGTTTTGTATGTGGCATATGTGCATAGCAGCAAGATACAGTCCCGTGCTTTGACCTGTGTGAAGGCATGGTGTGTGAATGTATCGGGTGGGTGAGGCGTAGGTCCCTGGGACAGGCATGGTGCCTGCCCTGCAGTTAAGGCACCTCGTGGCAGCGAGATGGCACCTCTGAGCTTGCAAAGTGAGATGTGCCTAGCTCTCACCTTGGGAATGCCCAAGAGCAAGGTAATAGAATAAGGTAGCCATGGGCCCTTCCAGAGGGCTGACAAGGACTTTGCATACTCATCATCCAGGGGAGATGGTCAGCTCTGTGTTTGCAGAAAAACAGCAAAGGTACGTGTGTGAGCAGCTGGGTTCAGACATGCTGGAAGCTCTAACACGGTTACCCACAACACTGCCTTGGGACACATCTGTCACTGTGAGACCCCTCAAAAGTAACATCCCTTTGTTTTTTTCTTCCTTATAGTTATCTTCATGGTGTGTTCACTCTTGGTCTGTAATTTGATCATACAGGGCTTTGGCAGCAGTGCTGGCTTGCACAGTCCCATCCTCTCATCCACGCCTTGCTACTTGTTCTCTATCCAAGCCACAGAGCCCCTTATCCCCACACTGTATGTGAGGCCATGCTGTGTACTGCTGGGTTCAAATAAAATAAACCAGAACTACAGAATGATGAAATGGGTTATATTTAACCCAGACCAGTTCCTTGTTTTTTCAAATCATAACTGAGCCTCATGAACAGTTGAGTCAGCACAAACAAGGGAAGCATGGTGTTTGCAGCGCTGAGGGGGAAACAGGACACATGACTGAGGAGCAAGACCTCTGTATTCAGCTCTGCTTTTGAACCCCTAGATCACCTAGCGGTGGCCAGGGTTTTGCCACCGTGCGGGGACACCCCAGCCATCAGCAGGCATCTGTGAGGAAACATCTGACGCCTACGTTGGCCCTGGCTGGTGGGCTGCTCACAGCGCCCTGTGCTGCAAGGGATCTTGCTGACTTCCCCATGTCCAGCACTGCTCTGCTTTGGGGGCTTAACAACATCTGTAAAACCGGGGTCCTTGCTGCTAGGTGGAAGTTTGCTTTAAATTTTCAACTGCCCAGGCCAAAAAGAGAGTGGTTTGACAGTAGTGAATTCTTGGAGCATATTTGGTTCCTCTTTTGTGCGTTTACAAGATTTCATTAACTGTGCATCTGTAATTTATAAGAATATAAATAGAAATTAACACATAAATGAGGGGTAATGAAGCCTTTTCCTTTGGTTTCATTCTTTTCCTTGCATATCAAAAGATGACAGTATATTATTCCATCCAAGCTGCTAAAGACTTAGAGCCTTCTCTGCTGTAGCAGAGGAACCAAATTCCTGCAGAGTCGTAGGACATTCAGTCTCAAGCAAGTAGGCAGCCTGGCATTTTGGTGGACTTCGGGTTGCAATGATAACGTCACCACATACCACTACATTGATCGGTAAGGGGAAGAGATCTTAAAGTGTGCCCAAAAGAACAAAAAAAGTTTAAAAATTGTAAAGGTTTCTGGTACAAACAAAAAACGTTAACTTCTGATGGCGCTGCATTTTGAATGATCCTCTATCTAGAACATATGGCAGTATTACAAAACTGTTGGCAAACAACAGCAAGAGTAAAGCAGAATAAAAATGTATAGGAAGAAAGCTAGAACTAGGCCTAATGAAAGATAGTCAGAAGGAAAAATCAGTTTATGCTTAAACAAATTTAACAGAGTCTTTGAAAAGTAATTATGTTCACTGTTCAGTCTGGATGCCTTACAGATGACAAACCACAATGAGAAACAGACTTCCTTTCCAGTGTTTTATACATTTAGTGTTAGACCTTGAACCATGGCACTTGTAGACTTCATTAAACTCTTAGATCACTGTTAAAGAGTTCTGTAGCTCTTGAATTTGTGTTACAATGCATAAAAATTATTTCAAGCAAATGCTGCCAGTGGTAACTCATGTATACTTCATAATCACCATCTTTTTTTATATTTTCTTATACTCTGTTTTTGCGGGGGGGTTTTTTTGTTTGTTTTTTTGTTTTTTTTCAAGTCACCTTCAAGTTAACGTGATGCCTATAGGCAGTGTTCTCACCAAGGTCACTGTGCAGTTTCTTCACACTTGTATATGGTGACTTGATTTCTGTGTTTGTCTTACTTTATGAATCAATATCTTTCAGCACCCCCAGATTCAAAAGGAGTCACAATATATCAAGTACTTATGCTGCGATGATCAAGCAACCCTGCATCAGTGGGTAACAGGAATAAGAATTGCCAAGGTGGGATTAAAAGTAAACGTAGTCAAATATGTTTTCTGTAAAATCCTGTCTTCCTCAGGTTACTGACTGTCATCACCTCAACTGGAAATACTGTGACAAGAATGGACATTCATGCTAATTTTACCATAGAAAGAAAGAGCAGAAGGGCATGGATGGGTTTGCTGAATATTCCTGTACCCTAGTTAACAGTGTGTTTTTCTCATTAACATGAGAGTGAATTCTGTAGCTCTAAAAGTCATGTACTTGTAAAACTAATTCCACAGTTATCTGGCACAATAACAGTATGCTGTGGCTAAAGATGTGCAAACTCTGGTCAGTCCAGCTGTGATTTTTTTCTAACAGTTCTGCCCAAATTGTCTGCCCTGCCCTCTTCAAAAAGATCCAGACTCTCAGACAATTTTGATTTGCACAAAATGTTAAGGGAGATGGATTTGTAGATAGCCCAGTATATTGTCTGTACCTGGCTATACAGACCTGCCCTTGTTAGGTATATATTGTTTTCTGCCAGTTCTGCTGCAGGGTGACATCCAACAAAGGTGTGGGGTGAACATCAAATTATTTTGTGTCTTACTCTGACAGAGCTGTTTGCTCTAGAGCCCAGGATTCAGTGTCCCAAGTCTGAAAATGTAATAACTTGGAAAGCAATGGAAGAAGATACTGGTTTTAAAGCCAAGTTTCAAGATGTTAACAGATGCTGAAATTAACATAAAATGTGAGTGATATCAGTAGGACCGTATTTGGTCACAGGGATTCATGTTTTATTGTGCTGTTGTGGAGATGCTTTCCACCTGGCCCCATACAGAAATAGGCACAGCACTTGTAGAAAGCTACTTTTTAACAAAACTGGCTAGGAGGGAATGGGGTCAGGAAAGTTGTCTGAGAGCAAAATGAATACTTTGTCTATTTCAAGCTTAACACTGTGTTTATTGTATTGTTTGAATTGTTTTGCAGTATGGCAAGACGCTATATGATAATTACAAATGTGCCGTGAAGAAATCTGGCTTGTCCTCTCGGTGGGCAAATCAAGGGACGGTGGAACCAGCTGCCCCAGCAGGATCCTTATCAGCAGGTACTGATGCTGTCACAGCAGATGAAATTATATTTGTTGTCCTCTTCTGTCATCATCAGTGTTGCACACAGTCTTTGTTCAGAAAACTGTCCCATGGATTCAGCGAGGCAGTATCTTGTGCTAGACAGCCCAGTGTAGCTCTGATCTATAACTAAGCTAGCAGCAGAGCTCTCACTTTAAAGTTAGAACTTGAAGAATACAAAGACAGCCTACCAAAGGTAATTTTAAATCTGCATAATTCAATTAGGTATTTTTCTGTTGGTATCTGAATGCAAATCTTTTATCCTCCCTTTGCATTTTATGGACTTAGGGTCCATGTCTTTAAGTTTACTGTTTGCCAATCTCTACACTGCCTGTAGCAGAGCTTTTCTTCTAATGAGTAAAAGGGATGAGTGGGATATTCTGAGAATGATCATTTCCAGAAGAGATTTTTATAGGGCGAGCCACTCTCTTTCCTAGCCTTTCATCATTTGCATGATAACAGTGTGGGTGTTAGGAGAAGGAAGCACAGGAAGAAAGGATTGAGTTATTCTCTAACTTTACTTTTCCAGTAACTTTATCACATTGTTGTTACCTATTTTATCATTGTATGGATACCACTGTGCATGATACTAGCTGTAACTTGCATGAATGTTTTTAGTTTACATGCTTTAGATATTCTTTATTTGTTAGGAAGGACATGCTGGCCAGTTACTTGCTGTCATAAGACAAGCAAAGTCAAAATCAGTACTAGCTTCTTACTTCTCATATAGACAACTCAGAATCCTCCAAACACCTTTCCAAGGCTTTAGTTTGCCTTTTCTTGGTATGTGGGAGAAGGGTGTGGTCTTTCTTCTATGCCTTGGAGTCAAATCATGGTAATAAATGCACATTTAGGGTAGGCAGACACAGTAACAGTAGACTTTTTTGACATCAGGGGATTTTTTGATGCTTGGGGGGGGGTGTACTTTAGAGAGGGTGGATGGGACAGTCATGGAGCATCTTGTCTTCTGGTCTTGATGGCAGTAGGGAGGTGGCTGGCCAATGGGGCTCCGCACTGGTGCTGCAGTCTGTACTGGATATGGGCAGGATCAAGCCCTTATAAAGTATTTTCTATGTCTGTGTAACTTCAGCTCCTGACTAGAATCCAGGAACGCTGCATGTGATCACAAATTATACTATTAATCTTAACTAATGGATCCTATTTAATGGTTAAGTAGCCTGGAAAGATTTCAGTCATGTATATTGTCTCTATGGAAATATCTCTGAAGGATCATTAGCGTTCTAATTGAGGCAAGTCGCTGTGATTCTTGCTGACTTACAGTTACAATTACTGCCCTATATAGCCAGGCCCCAGGTTTTACAATACTGTAACCTGAACTGCTTATGAGTAGTTTTTGGCTCATGTTTTGGAAATGGAACAAAGTATATTTTCTTCTGTTCTGTTTTCAGATGGCTGTATAGCCATTTCTGTGGTCTGATTTCAATATAAGCTGAAATCAGCTAGAGAAAACTACAGTCCTGTGTGAGTTTGGCAGCCAAAAGCGATGCTCAGGAAGGCAGGTGGAACTTTTGTTCTCGCATCTCACGTAGCCTGTATTCCCTGGTCATACTGCTGTAGCCGCATTTGTGTGTTCATGTATACCCCAAACTGTATAGTCTGTGGTTCTGAGGTGTCTCAAGTGCCAGGCACATCTCAGGCAAAGTATGTTGTTTGTGTCTCTGCCTCACTATATGTGTCTTTGGACACTAAAGAAACCATGTATGTTGTGTGCCAGCACAGTATCATTATATCTGAAAGATAAAGGATGTTGCTTTATTCAGATGTTCCTTATCACTACAAGGCTCAATATTTTGCATTGTATTTTGGGTATCTACATTTTGCAATATATTTGGACTACTTTTTTCTTAAAACAAATATTAATTCAACATAGAATTTTGGAGAACTTGACTTGCAAAGAGTACTAGAACATTTAAATTAAAAATAAATCTTGATAATAGAATGCATGAACTCACATACTGGATTGACTGGGGGTCCTTTAGCTGACTGACTGTGTGTAGCTTAGTGCAAGTATGTGGCAGGAGTTGCTGTATCAAATCCTGCATAGTTTATGAAATCCATTGTCAGAAGAAGAAACAGATTACCATTTATCCATGTCCTAACTTTCTGGTATATCATATTTGCCAAGTAGAACACTATACCTTGCACTATATAGAGTGGATCTCTCCCTGTTCTCTTTCATTTAGTTAAATCTCAACATGACTGAGGGTTGCAATGTCTCTGAACAGTAGTGTGAAGCCCAAATTCCTGCTCTGCTACGGACAGCAAATGAAGTGAGGAGAGACAGTAACTTGATTTACTTGAGGGCATGGCCACAGAACCCAGGGATAGACATCTCTCTGCTGAGCATTTACAGCCACAAGACTGGATTTCTCTCTTCACTGTCTTCCATGTTAGTCCTTCAACAGACTGTAGTTTGAATGATCAAAATGGTACTTTAGATTAAATATGCTGAATGACATGCAGGCACAGGCATAAACCAGAAGGACTTCAGATCATCTTCTGTCATCCCTAGAAGCCTAAATAGCGCTAGTAGATTCAGTACACTGCAGAGTTTGTCTTACTTCTCTGTCAATCCTGTGATTTGCAGGCATGGCAATAAAAACAATTTATTTCTTATGCACATGGAACCTCTTTGCTAATCAGAAAAGTACATGCTAAGATTTAAAACCATCTTTGTGCTTAGACTTATATTGCAGACAGCTGAGGGTTCACTGGCATCCAAGAAGTACATGAGTGGAACTTTACTGGATCTCAGAACTGTGTAGTAGAGCTAAGGTAGTCATTAAGGTTTACAAATGTATGTATCTAAGCACTTTGACATGTACAGCTTCCAAAAGTCCTAGACTAAACTAGAGTTTATTTAATCCTCATCAGACTATACAGGGGCTGGGGATTTTTTCATAATTAAACCAACAAATTTGTCCTTTGGTGTCACATTCACTTAATCCATTTGACAGTACTGGGTTATTTATGCATATCCCTTATGAATACAGTAATGGTGGGCAGATGTTTTGCAGAACTTTAATTTAGGCAGCTAGCAGATCTTTGCTAATCTTAGAATACAGTGAGGTTCACAAATCTCCCATGATTCCAGGTGGGGGAGAAGTTTCAGAGCTGTTAGCTCATTTGCTAAAGAGAGCTGATCAGCCCCTCTGTAGGACTTCAAACCTTCAGCTCTCGTGACTCTTACTGATATGAAACTATGGAGTTTTTAATCTTTAGCTTAAAGTAAAGAAAAAACGCCATGCAATAAAAACTGGGAATGTAATTCTACAGCACATTACAAACTTCAGAATGCTGTTATGAAAGACTGGTGTTTAAACGATGGATGGCCAGAGGGTGGGCTTAACTATGACAGTTTGATTTCTGCTTACCTTCCCTTCCAAAGCCAGTTCCCTTCTCTCTTCCTGTGTCAGCCTTAATGGTCCCCTTCTCTAATCACTGTTTACAATAGTCAACACCTTTACACACTCTGATAATACCATCATATGCTTTTGTAATTCTGCCACTTGCACATCCTGTAGGACTGTCAGCTACAACAGTGGAGGCATGTGGACAGATACTAGTTTTAATGTAAGGCATCTTGTTTATTTTCCTTAGGTAATGAACTGAATATGAAAAGTCATAAAGTAAGACTGAAGTAGAAAACAGATATCCTCATGGATTTTACTGAATTATATATAAAAAACCTGTAACGAGTGGTTCCTCGGTAAAAGTTGTGAAGACTTTTTAGAGCCTTTTTCTTAGTTTGCTATTCACTGATTTGGTTAATATAACAAAAGTGTAACACTCTCTTCCCTCTGTCTCCTCTCCTTGTCCCAGGTGCTGTTCAGTCAAATGGAGAGATTCCCCAAATTGTTCGTCGTTCCAGTGCAGAATTTCCAGAGACTCAGAAGAAAGTGGATACTTTAGAGGTACAGGTCAGCAGTTACTAGCAGTGCCCTAGTTAAAATGCACCTTTGAACCAGTTCTCCAAGTTTGTTTTTCTTCACCCACTGTCTTTCCCCCTCAAAGTGCCATTGTACTGTTGTGACAAGGATCTGGCTCCCAGGCAAAGTGGCTGGTTCCTTGCTGCTCCTCCTCATGCTTTACACACTGCAAACAGTGTGCCTGTTGCACAGAAGCAAGGAGACACTGATGGAGGTGAAGGCACAGCCTTACACCACTTCTGTTCTTCAGAACAAATAGCTGCAAGTTCATGTAGCAGGAATAGGAGTGTGCCTGCTGGGACAGTCTCAATCTCTGCTTCCAGAACCTCGGTGCCGATTTCTGTCTCTGCCAGAAAACAGGTCTTGCCTTAGTAACACAAAGGATACAGTAGTGTTTTGAGGAGGGAACGCTATGCACAGCTAAAGCTGAGTGTGCAAGAAAGGAGAAAGTGAAGAAGTAAGAGAAAACATTACATGTCAGTAGGGTACAGTATGAGGACTTCAGAAACGTCCTGCAGAAAAAAAACCCTGCATATGATTGCAGTTCATTATTCAGTCCCTCCATCATGCATAAAGTGCACTGGACGAGTGAAATTAAATTCCTAGGATTTTTCTGTCATCTGCATTACATGCCCTACACTTCTCTTTCTGTCTTTTTGTTCCTCCTTTAAAAAGATCTGTTTCTGTGTCCTGAACCTCACTTCCTCTGGAGCAGATCATGTTCTCAGAACTCAGCCAGTGGTTCCCTCCTCCAGAGTCTCATTTACTTCCACCTTTGTAGGCAAGGAGAGTGAGGAAGGGAAGGCATGCATGTTATACTTAGCTAATGCCAGAATTAGTAGTGCTGACTTGAGGGTTGCAGAGCGCTCTTCCCTAGCAGAAGCAAACATGTTGCCTTCTATCTCACAGCTTCTACAAGCCTGGGACCAAAGCTGAAGTCTTTTAGGGTGCACTCTGCTACAGTTAGAGCACTAAGCTCGCTAGATCTAAACTGATAAATTAGCATCACCAGAAATGAATGTTTTACAAAGCTTTGTTTCAGGACAGTAGACTCCTCCACAGGTTTCAAGAATAGGTAGCATGTTTGTGTAGTGACTGTCAACCAGTTGCTACCTGAAAAAAAAAAAAAGGCAATTACATTCAGATATCACCAAATGAGCTTGCTTTCTCTTCAGAGTGTTGACTAGCAAATACAGTTTAAAAGAAAAGCCACCTAAAATTTTATCAAAATAAAAATCTCCATTATTAACTTCTATCCTACATTTTATTTTTCTTAACTTTTACAATGGATGCTTGGATTAATTTTTACTTCAGAAAAGTTGTCAGAGGGTTTGAACGTCTCGTGACCTCGCAAACATGGCTAAAACACAGTGGCTTCAAGGACATGTTTGTTCCACTATTGATTTGAAAGTGTAGGAGGTGTGTGCATGTGCCTTTCCCAGCAGGCAGGAGACACCCCTTCCCTGGGCTTACCAGTGACCCTTGCCAGGTGGATGTCCTTTTCCCTTCCATGCGCCGCACAGATTGGTGGCAGACAGCTTTCCCAAGCGCCTCTCTTTTCTGCTTTGCAGTGCTCTCCCTCCCACAGAGGGGGCCCAGTGCACTGCCCTGTGGGTGAATGCGTGTCACACCATGTAACAGAGTGCAGGGGATGGTGAATCCAGACATGTAAACTTTAAATTCCCAAATCTCTCCACCTTATTCCTGCTTCACTGCTGTTGTGAGTTAGGCAGATATAGGTGACTTCATTATTTCAGCTTTATCCCGAGACCCAGCAGTCACAGCTAGAATGGGAGATGGAGATACAGTGGGGGTGAGAGCCAAAACTACATCTGCTTTTTATGTTCTCTAATCTTGCTCAGTATTTTTGGATGTGAGAACACAGCACAGATTTTATTTTTTCAAGTCTCCATGTTCTCAGGGAATAAACAGCAGGGTGGAACATAGAGAAAGTATCTTTATATGTCTCACTAACTGCAGTTCTTTGAAATTTTAAAAGCACTCATTTTCTGAGGACAACACTTGAAGCAGCACTATGAATACTGTCAACATGGAGGTTTCCACTGTCAAAGCTCTGTGGGCAGAACAGAACACTATTTGCACTATTCAGGCAGGATGTTCACTACTTCATTTCGCTGTCCGTCTACTGCACTCATCTCATATATTTTCACATCTTCTCACTTTTTTTATGCAGCAGCATTAGTTTAGACATGCACTGACTGTGTCTTGTCCTTTTATTCCTTCTGCTTATTAAAGGCTAAGCCCAATAACGTCAGTGCATCTGGCCTGTCGCAGTCAGTGGTGAGGCTGCAGAAGTACCAGAGTAGGAGGACCTCACTTCAGCCTCCTCCTCCACCTGAGAGGCGGTCATCTGCTATTTCTGTTTCACCAATTCTACCCTCCAAAGTCAAACGAGACAGCGGCGTTTTCCTAACAGATCCAGACAGCTTTCCAGCACCGCCACCTACACTGAAGATTGATTTTCCACCACCACCGACTGATTTCTGTGAACCTCCTCCTGATTTTGTGCCTCCACCACCACCACCAGCCTCCAGCAGCAGTAATGGAAACCTGCCATTACCCCCTCCACCTCCACCCCTCGCCAGTAAGCCACCACCTCCAACAAAGAAACCTGTGCCACTTCCTTCAAAAGGGCTAGAAAACACAGGACAAGCTGGAGAGCCACGGTCAGCTGGGCCACCTCCAATTGGGGGTGGAGGCAGGCAAGCAGATTTCATGTCTGATCTAATGAAAGCTCTTGAGAAGAAAAGGGGCAGCAGCTCCTGAACTCTGAGAGCAAGTGGACTTCAAACCATAGCTTTTTTTGTGAGGTATCATGAAAGGTTGTGCTGGATCAGGCTCCTCCAGGAGGAAATCTCCTTCAGTGTTCCTCCTGTGGGTCTCACAAACTAAGGTCAGGTGCCCTCTGTCCCCTACCTTGTCCCTATAACCTGCTCCTTCCCCACCATCCCACCCCCCCACCATTAACTACCATTCCAGCATAAGGCCGAAGTAAGAACTGGCTGTAGAGTCTTCCACCAGGAGAGCCAGGGCTGTTGGAGCAGCACTTGCAGAGCCAGCCAGTGAGTGAAATGCATCTTCTGTGGCTGCTTCTCTAGTAGATTGGAGCTGAAGGAAAAACTGCAACAATGTTCTTGTCTGAATTCTGAGAAGTGTTAAGATCCCTTTTCACAGAATTCCCCTTAAAGGTTATCAGAAAACCCCTAACTGTGGGGTTTTTTTTTCAATAAAAAGACACCAGTTTTTTTTCAATAATAGTCTGCCTTAAAAAGTAAAACCTCAGCTAGATTATTCTGAGATTCAAGGCAGGACCGGAGCCATTTCCAGACATAACATTTCACCTCACATGTTATACACTTCTCCTTCCATATGCAACTCCAGTCATACCTGTTTGCACTCACAGTTGCTGCCTTTAAATCTTGTTTATTTGGTTAATCTTAAATTTTTATTTTGAAATCTTGTATGTTTCCCTTGATAGCCAGGATTTTTTTTTTTTCATGTTGGTTAACATTTGTCTTTAAAATATACCTGGAAATAGTCTGTCTTCTGAAAGACTTTATAATTATCTTGTACCTGATATGAATGTCACCTCCTACTTTTTTTCCTCTATTTGTTCTTCCATTTTAGTTCTCCATTGTTCTGTTAGGCAGCATTCATTATTAGTTCTCAAATAAAAATAACTTCTATTTTATATCTTCACAAAGTGTCATAGTTAATAAAGAGCCATTTTACTGCAATTGGTACCACTTCAAATATTTTACAGAGTACAAAAAGCATAAAAAGCAAAGTGTGCTGTCTAGTTAAATAAATACATAAAAGCAGCTGACAGAGCAGGGACTGCGAGCACTGCTGTTTGTTTGCTTGTCAAAATGGAGTCCGAGGTTCAGAAGTGGTGGTGGGAGGCAAGGGAATGACAAGCTGGTGGCAGTGCCTCAGCCTGGCAAAATTTTGGGTCATCTCTAGTATTATTTTTGGGCTAAGGTTGGTTTGTCAATACCCAAGTACCTGCACAATAGTCTAGAAGAAATATGAAGGCTATAACCATGTCTTTATTATAAAGTGCCTTTCCTTTTGAAATTACTACCTTTTAAATTTTTTTTTCAAAGTTGAAAACACGAATGAACCACATGCGTTTCTTCCTGCCCTTGAAATGATTTTGCTTTAAACACTGTGGTAGAGCCCACAGCTGTGTCCTCTCTGGTGGAAGAAGTGGCTGCTTGAGGTAGATGAATAAATGCATAATGTGGGCAAAGGTGGATGTAGTTAATACTCCTCCCTGATTTTGAACTTGAAAAAAATGCAGAAGCATTTTAATTGCAAGGTTTCACAGAGATGCTAAGAACAAGATAGTTATCTGTACAGGTGGCAGAGAGTTAGGGTGTCGCCTGCAGCAGCCACTGTGTGAGCATAGATGAAGAGCATTAGAAGTCTGTTGATGCTACAGTTTAAATGAGGCCCGCCCCACCAGTATGTCACCCTACATGTCCCTGGGTTGACCCCACTCCCCAGTGGGGTGTTTGGTTTAGGTTTGACCAGTGTGGAAGAGGTAGGGGATTCTTTGGCTCTCCAATGTCAGGCAGGTATATCAGGCTACCACAGCCTGGCCTTCACCCCCAGGCACCTTGTAGTCTCTGTGTGGACCAGCATCAGTGGAAACATTATTGGTAGAGTACAAAAGCACACCACTAGTGGAGGCAATCGCTGGCTGTTACAGCCCCACTTCACCTAAGAGTTGCAGACCCTTCCACATTTTCCACGAGTTCACAGCACACAGAGCTACCCTTTTATCCAAGATGAACAGCAGTGCTGGCTGGCCAGTCCCACTTTTCTTCAGATGGTCCCTACTATGTTTGCACATTTCGGTGGTTGCGTGAGCATAGACTTCCACAAGGCAACAAAGACCAGGGCTTTGCTGTGATAAAGCACAAACCATGAGCACTTGGTATCAGTGAGCCAGACCCCTGACGAGTTGGGGCAATGTAAGGCTAAGCATCCCCCTCAGCACTAGGAGGAGCAGGTAGTGCCTGGTCAAAGCAGTAGGAGTGACAGGTCAGGCTCTTGGAAGGAGCCTGTGCAGAAGGAGGTGATGGACACAAGAGGAACTTGGGGATACATGGAAGATGCTTCAGCCAGGGAAGTGCCAGATAAGCCACTAAAAAAAAGTTTATGACATCCTGTAACTGAATCTGTTTTCAGATGAGACAAGCTAAAGTATGTTTTTCCTGCAGTAATTGTGCCCATCCCTAGAGTTACTAGCCACGGGAGAGCCACTCTCCCTTTCCTCGGTTTGTCAGCAGTGTAAGCATTGGAAGAGTAAGTCAAGCTCACACCAGGGATATGGGGAATGGGGGCTGTCTTACAATGGCTGTTAACCATCTGTTTGCTCTGCAGCCTGTGGTTGAGGAGCTAGCAGTGCTTAGCAATGTGCTACAGCTTGTACAACTGTGTCAAGGAGGAGGCTGCAAACTTGAGCACTGGCCTAGTGCTCACCCATACTTGTCAAAGTGGGACTCAGCACAGCCCCGGGGACAATTCAAGAACTGTCCAGGCCAGGCATCATTCCCCGAAGACAACATGGACTAGCCTAAAGCAGGTTTTTCACTCCCCATACAGAGATCCGCTGTGGTGCGGGTATGGCCAGTGAAGGTACCACTTCATGGGCGAAGGGACTAGTTGCCAGCCCTCTTACTTACCAATACAGCCAGAGCCCATGCAACTCTTACTGGTCTGCTGGCTCCCTCGCTTTCACTGAATTTAGCAAAAAGCTCTCACCAAGAGAACTGTGCTCACCACTAACTCCACAGATGTTTCCTAGAAGTTTTGGACTGGCATGCTACAACATTCAAAAGGCTCAAAATTCAAACCGGCCAAACTGAGAAATGCTCTTGAGACCAGTGACCGGCTTGTAGATTTATTACAACCTTTAGTTCCAAGTGCAGGATTAATGTTTCCCAATTGTTTTCCATATATAACTGAGGTAAGCATTATGCAGAATCATCGAGTGCTCAAGAGCTGGGTGTCATTTTCTGACAAGGTATTAAGAGTGCACATCTTCAACACATTTAGGTGACAACAGCTGTCTGCTAGCCAACTATCTTTAAATCAATTTTATACATACAAAATGTTACACGTATAAATACATTACATGTTTATACATATATTTCTAATATACACCCAGCATCAAAATAAAGCAGTGGCACATGTCCTTAGAAAAATGTTGCACAATAAGCTAGTTTCTTTGAATTCACAAAGCACTAAGACTTCTACACGGCTTTCTTAGCATTCACTCTTCTCACCAGAATGCTTAGCTTCCTGCCCTATTCCCTCCCTTCTCTTTTGTTACAGTACAATAAACTCAATTTTGTACATTTTACATCTGCAGTCAATCATAACTCATGCACTTAATCTTACACAAAAGAGCTTTCTTCGAAACAAAAAGAATCAAAGCCTATAGAAAACTCCAGAAATCAATTAAAATGCTGTGATGATTAGAACTCTATCCACTATTTTGTGTACGTACATGCTTGCATTGAATTTCTCAAATGTAAGTATTCAAACTCTCCATTCAAAGAGCAGAGCTACCATCTTAATGATACACAATTATCTGGCTTTATTCAGTACAAAAATTATGCTGCAAAATACAGAAAGATCTTCCTTTCCAAGACTGTAAATCAAAGCATTTATAAAAACCAGAAATGAATCCTTCCACATCTAACCTATTGCCATATGAAACCTTATTCCTGTAGATTGCAGTAGTATGTTTGTTACTAGAGATTACAGTATTTTAGCCTGAAAATACCTTAAATTGCAGCATGCTATTTTCAACCCTTCTCCATACCTCAAATGGAAGCAGTCTCAGTAGCTGTCATCTTCATCAGATTCTTGCATCACTGATACCAAAAAGGACCTCCTTTGGGCAAACACCATCCTTAGGGTTAGAAAGGTTACAGTCATGGAGAGGTCCACATGCAGAGGGTCAACACTGCTGCCCCTCGTAACCATCCTCTGCTACAGAAAGAGGATGAGAGTACAAAGAAACGCCTTTTTGCTTACCAGCCACAGGATTTTTATTCCCCATAAGCTCTTCCATCACTGCTGTGTTTATTATGTAGCATGAAGGAAGATGCAACTCCAGAACCACAGGTGGAAGACAAGGATTTTAGGGAATACATGACGAAACAGCATATTAATGCTTACATCGTCATGAAAAACCATAATGATTAAAACTTAGAAGTGCAAAGGGAGGTTGTACAAAATGCTGAGTATGATGTGGGCTCATTTCTCTACTTTTACAAAACACCATTAAAAGGTAGCGTTGAGGTAACCATGTGTTTTTCACGCACTATTTGTCAGGGACTTTGAGAGTGGCAAAGTAGAAACTTGATAATGTGGCAAAATTACAGGACAGAACTATTTATGACTTATCGCTGACAGTCTCACAGTAACTGGGAAACGTATATTCCTTTTGAGGGCAACATGCAGAACAGAAGAGATTCAGTGTCGTTAATAGTTATGAATTCTCATGGTCTTGCAGAATATTCTACGGCAGTTTGCCATTAGCAATCAGCGCTGACATGAAATTGGACTATCATTTCTAAAAGCAGCTGATGTACGCTGCATGGTAAAACTAGGGGGGAAAAAATGGAGATTTGCTTTCACATAAATCAAGGAAAGGGGGCATGACTGAGTCTGTGAATGAACTGGAGAAGAGAAGTAGCTGACCTACTCTCTGCAGTCAGAGGAATATGTGAAACCAATTTTCAGGGCTTGCTTTATTCTTTCAGATGTTTTTCAAGAACCTGAGAAAAGCCTCACAATGAGCACACTGGGCAGTACATATATCACTGCTTGTAAAATAGCTCCCATCGGGGATATTCTGGTTTTGTATCATAATGCTGGAGGCTTTCTCTGCCTTTAACTATGGGTGAAGCAGAGGTCCATTAACTACTGTTACTAAAAGGATTTAACATTTATAAAACACTTTGAAGAAAAAAGCAGTATAAAAATGCTTTGTATTTATGCAATTATTCCATGAGGTTAAATTCCATTAGCCATGTTTGGCCCCCACACAAAAGAAACTTACTAGATGTTTGTTTCAACACAAATGAGATTCTTTCCTTTCACCTAATTGGAAACCAGGGCCCAAGCTGCTGTATTTACCATGTGGGCACAAATATGTTAATCTTCAAGTCATCACCTCATTCCACTGCAGCTGGTAACATTGATGTTCACACATTTCATCACAACACGCTATTTTGCTTGCAATTATCTGAGAAGAGACATCAACACCACTGTTTCCATCAGTTGGGAGTGCAGCCTGCTTCTGAAGGGCTTCTACAGGCATCCCCAGCAGCCCACTCGTACCTGGAGGTGTTGCCAGCACAAACACTAATCCCAGTGGTGGCAGAAGAGCATTTACTACCTGCACAAGGAAAGTTAACCCAGGCTGAACTTGTGTAAATTGCTTAATCTTCTGACTGGACTTTCAGAAACCTTGTTCTCACCATATGATACTTCTATTTACATATGAACAACTGTATTTATATTTGAACAGTTGCATATCTGAGGGAAAACCATCCTGAATAATTGTGTTGATTATAGTTAAGAAGTAAAGGCATTCAAATATTTTGTAGTCACTGAAGATTTATAATAATACAGATTTTTTCCACATTAATTATATTTCTAGAAATAGATTTGTGAAATGTTAATTACACCACTTAATAGCCTCTATTTCAGAATCAAGCGGCACTCAAGAAATTTGAAGATAACAGATCAATCCATTTTGGATTTGAGAAGAGACAAGGTAACATTAAGAAGTAACAAAACCCCCAAATCAGTTATTTTTGCTGTACATTTTCTAGCATAACGTTGGACCTGATTGCTTATGTATTAGATTTGGCTTAATTACATACTAAGTTTTGTTTAGTATCAAACAAGGATAAATAAGATCCAGGACTCAAAAGACTACTGTCTCTGTTACGCAGAGGACTTCAATGGAACAGGTTCAGTTGAATTTTAAATACTTTCCCTGCAAGATTTCTGTTAGTCCCTTACAGTATCAGGTAGTTGCATACAAAAAGCATATTGACCCGACTACATACATAGTGAGATACTTCCAAGAAATTCTTTTTCCATGTCCAACCAGTGAAAATTTCCCTAGGCATTATATCCATGTACCAACAATCTCTCTACTGATAACAAAAGGTACGCTTTCAAAGAGTAGTGAGCCAGGCTTGATAGGCACCTGACACTGGCACAGACACCAAAATTTATTTTGGGGCAAGCCACTCCCAAGCAGACACCTTTTCTCACTATTTAAATTGAATTTCCTTTAATGTTTGTTGGCAGTTTAATGGGACAAAACAAGGTCAAAAAGAGGAAAGGTGGCCAGATCTAAGTGTAAGGTGATCCTCTGTTCCAACTCTGCAAAAGACTTAAGAACATTTATGTCTTCAGCATACAATTATATTTGAACAGTGTGTAACAGCAAGGAGAACATTAATTAAAATAACGTATAATTAAAACTCACTTAGATGGATTTTAAACTGACCAGACATTAAAATATTGAAACCCACCTGATCAGCCATGAATTCTGAGACGTTAAGGGTGACAGTGTGACATAACTTAAATACTGGGACTCAAATTAATGCACAACTGAATATGAAAGGTAGAGTTATAAATGCCAATATAATTTGCTGATGCAACCATACATAGGGGTCTTTAATCTTTAGGCTTTATAAATTTGGTCAAGACCTTTTCTTGCAGAGCAGTAGATTCCAGTCCACAAAGTATAAGGAGAGAAGCTCCTGTGGCTTGATCCATTAATCCTATTTGAAGGCCTGAGCTTTGACCTTGATCAGTTTTCTTGCTTGTTCAAATTTCCCTCAGGACGAGCAGCTTACTTTAAGATCCTTGGCCCAAACTGGGGGCCGCAGGGAGTAGCCTGCTTTCTCTGCAGCCTGCTGTTTCTGGAAGGGATGTTGTAAAATCTGCTGTAGTAGATGAACCTAGAAGCAGTTAAAATGGGTAAGTTTTTACACAGAATGGTTTCTTTCAAACAAGAGAAGTCTTTGCCACTTCGTATTATGCACACTCTTGGCTCCAGAAACTAGTCCATGAGCTGCTTACTACTGTTAGTACTACTATTAATACACTCATTACTATTTATGTTATAATTAATAGTATTCATAGTTTTATTAGTATTTTTAATAGTAATTGGTATTAAGACAGTACAGTGTCGGTCAAAGAGTAATACAGGTTCAAAGTGTATATGCAACAACTCTTCCATTAACAATTATGCCAATGATTAATAAATATGTCAAGAAAGAAAGAAATAATTTTACCTCCGAGAAATCATTCAAATGAGCTTTTTGCACTGCTGATTCTGCCATCCAATTCCTAAGTATGTATCTAGGGTTAACAGCTGAAACCAAAAGTAAATAGTCTTAAATTTAGTTAGACATATTCAACAAAAGCAAAACACAATAATTTAAATGTGTCATTGAAATCAGCAAGAATGTTTAATTTGCCGATCAAGGAAAAAAAATGCATAAAAAAGGAATTAATTATTTTTATAAGCTGCTAAAAGGATTATTTAAAGCTTGCATCAGTAATGTGAAAGCACCAAATAAAAATCAGAACAGTATAGAACATCATATTGATACACAAAGGATTGCCAGTTAGGAACACCAGCAGACTTTTCAATTATTAGTTTACCACGGCCTAAGTTCCTGATACATTTTTGGAAAGCGTATTTAAATGTTGTCAATACATTCCTGGAGATCATAAAAATGAATATTGTTTAATGTAAAAAGGAATTGCTGAGATATTCATTGAAGTATATGTACTTAGATATTCCTTCTTCTATATCATACATCAAAAGTTTGGCCATAAAAGCCTTTAATGTTGGATTTCAGCTGTATTTTTTAGAAACTACTTTTTCAACTTTGCCATTCCTTTTAGTTTCCTGGTGGGTTCCACAGGTTTTTTTCCACAACTGCCTGCTCTATCTTCTTGGAAACACCCATGACAGCTACACAGCTTCTCTGGCATGTTCCAGGCTGACTGTGTCTGATTAGCGCTAGGGACAGCGCTAATAGGTACAGACATTGCAAATTAAACTTCTGAATTAGTACCCCAAGCTGTATCTTACAGAACAGCAACTAACAAATTAGAAAAGGAGTTCTGTCACACTGCATGGTGATTCTCATAAGCACACATGACTTTTATTACTGATTTTTTAGCAGATAACATCAATACAACTCTTACTTTTGCTCTGCAATTAAAGCCTAGGATTCTACTTCAGAAAGTCTTCCCTTTAATTAATGATCAAAACAATATTACAGATCAATTGTAACAAACATTTCAGGCTTGCATTGTATATCTTGACATTGGTCTGCATATTTTCCCCAAATCAGTAGCTGATATTACCTGAAGAAATTATCAGTGATACCAGACACATTATCACCCTCAGAGTTGGAACCAAAAGTCTGTGATTTATGGATATACACAAACTCATCTGTTCCTTCACTTTCCACTGATGTCCCAGTAGGTTTTATATAAATAAATGTTAGTTCAAACCTCATATTTTATATATTTGTTTCAAAAATCCTGTAGCTTTATAAAATATTCTTGTATATACAGCATATTTGAAAGAGGGTATTAGAGAAAGCAAAATACTCATCAGAATCACCGTCCTCAATTTCCCTACACTCAATTCCTCCAATTAGCTATGATGTTATTTTACTTACAAATAATATATTAGGAGGGGGATGATCAGAAACAATGTTTTGGATAAAGGGATTAAACAATCTATTTTCATTTCCCAAGTCACTGTGTTCTCGCAATCTCCTTGTACTGTTTCTTCAGCTTGCAAACATAACTTGTTTATCTATCTTAGCTGGCTACCAAGACAATTGATGTCTTTGAGAAACACTATGATTGGCTCCTCCTAAGGTTCTGCAGTCAGACAATTGCAGGATTTTATTCAGATTTAATAGCTCACGATACAGAATTAATGCCTAGTGCAGTGAGCAGGCTTCTCTGTAATAAGCACTTCTTCTAATGAGCACCATTTAACCAGCTAACAAACTAGAATTTACTGAAGCTATATAATCAGTGGAACAACACTTGCATGACTCTTTTATGTATCACAATACAATAACATTCTTTATGTCTGGAACTGAATGATTGCCATTTTAAGCCACAAGATTTGACATACAAATGTCAGCACTGCACCAAGGGTCTTTATGTTATTTAGACAAGTAAAGGACACAGTAACCACTCTGCTCTAAGTGCTGAACTCTGACCACTCATGTTCCTGCCAGAAGAGAGAAGGTGAAGCTCTGTTATAAATCAGAATATGGGCTGAAAGCAGAAGCATCTCAGGTGGCACTGCTACTCCCTCCTTTATAAAAACTGTCCAGTTAATCGAACAACATTCTGGCACAACATCCAGGTGCTGACTTCCACGAGAACAAAGACTGAGATGCAGACATTCTTCTTTTTCAGATTACTGCTGTTCTGTACATACTTACATACATCAAACAAAATCCAATAAATATGACTAGCTATTTGGAACCCTGATAACCTCCACACAGATATAACAACACCCTGCCCTAAACTGCTACAAAAGTATGGTTTCGCACTTGGCAAAATAATTTGCTCTGGCCAAGTATTTGATTTAATTCAGTAAATGGGTTTTCAATAGTAAACTGTGATAACAATATAAAAAGAATATTTTGAAGGTGGAGAAGTTAACATATGACTCATTAAAAAAATGATAATTCACATTAAAACCATGACTCATATTAGCAGGAGAATATTTGTCCCATAAATACATTCTTAACAATTGCAAATTGACAGGTTTCACAGTGGTGTTAAAAATATCTGTAATTAACACAACTGACAAGATAATTATGAAAGAACAAGACAAGACAGATAAGAAAATGACAAAGCAGAAGAAATTTTGTGCGCTTATGAGTATTTTATGATCTGGTCTACATTATTTTTTTTTACGTATTTCTTTTGTAAAGAAATACAATTATAGACTTGTATTGGGATTTGGATTGTCAAAACTTTCTGATCAGCTCCTAAGGAACTAAATTTAGGCAGTAAAAGATAAAGTGCTACTAAGAACTAAAAACTAAATTGAGAAAAAAATAGTAAGTGATCAAATGCTTCAAGGTAATGTACTTTGAGGAGTAAGATATTTTACACTTACTAGTGATGAGGGAAAGGTGATGAATAATGAGGTGTTAATGGCAATCTAGTCAAGGTCAGTCAGTATTAAAGACAGTAATACAAAATTTAGTGGGATTTACCAACCCATCTAAAAATCTAGAGAGCCATGACTTCTGTCTTTAACATGAAATGCTGGGTGAAAATGCACAGTTGACTGAGTTAAGCCAGATTTCTGCTGCAAGGTGTGCTGACAAAGGACAGCTGTTACAAACAAATACTTAAACGAACAAAAAAAAAATATTTAAAAGAGACCACAAGGGGCATCTAAGAGATCTATTTAAATACACAGATGTAAAAGACAAAAAAAACTCTCTAAGAAACTTCAGTCACACTGTAACATGGAGCAGCTAGCAAAAATGTAACAAGATTTGTTGATTTTAAATGGAAAATTAAATTTTAATTAAAACAATAGCAAATTAACATCAGTAGCCTGTTACAAATTTCAGCACCTCTGCTGTATGAATATAGAGTGGTAACTGATTACATGGAAGAAGACTTAACTAACTTCATCTTTGCATATCAAGTTTTAGACTGCTACCAAAACAGACCACTAGCCATCCTGAAGGCAAAACTTTTCCCTTGTTTTGTCTGTCTCCTGTACTGTATGATCCTCTGAGGTGCATGTGGAAGAACATGATGCTGGTTTGCAGAAGACCATCCACCAACTAGGATTTTTTCTGATTTGGAATAAAAACTCACAATGTCATAATTTTCTCTAAAAGCAAATTCAAAAACCACAGAAATATAAGAAGTGTGTTTAGACAGTTTTCAGCATTAAATTTTAGCTGAGGAAAATGGGAGATTGAAACCTCAAAATAGTAGCTAAGAGCCACAGATTCCCGCAGTTGAAACTTCTTAACCCTACCAAAATACAAATAATAAAACAAACCTTTCTTCTTGTTAACTGTTTTCATATGAACTTTCTAAAAATACATGTAAAATTGTAAGAAGTGTTCTTAAGAATGGATAGAGCCTTGGTTAGAAATGTGGATGCAAACATGAAGGTCCATGTGATAAGAAATTGTGTCCTATGTAGTTTTTACTATCTTATTACTGAAAGTCAGTGTTACCTCCTGCCTCCTACTAAATCAATTGAAGCTTTTGAAGAATGTGGCCAATCAATACCTAACAAAAGACTACAGCCATTTCCATTAGAAATGAGAATAAAACACCGTACAGCAGTGTAACACTGAAGCTTATAATACCTCTGTGCAGAATTTGATCAGATCTTGCATTTCCTTCATTCCCTTTTGGCCATAGATTTTCAGTTGCTCATTGTCTTTTATAGGCAAATTTTACAAATTTACCACAGCTTACTGCAGATCCAAAAAACATCTCCCTGAATAATTCTTAGAATTTCTTATCTGCTGTGATAGACAGCTAAATGCAGTATCTCTACCAGTTTGTATTTAGAATAACTTGGAGAATCAAAGTACCTTCCTTTGACTTTCATGACTAGATAGTCCTTTCACTAGTAAGTGAGGTTTTTTTCTCCAGGTACATTTAAAAAAAAAGTGGTCACTTATCAGAAACCTGAATTCTATATAACATGTAGAAAGGATATGGACGTATTTGAACACTCAGACAAATCTCAGCCCATTGAGCCAGTACAGGATGCCTACCAGAATCTTTCCTGATGTTAACAAAGGCTCATCATTGGAGAACAGTGTTGTTCTGAGCAACACAAACCAGCACACTCACAGACTGCTAAAGGAAGTAAGTACAGATCAAGGTAAATATGTTGCTTGCGCTCAGGAAAGGCAGATACAGCAGAAGAGGAAGGGCATCTCTCACAATTGCCCAAAATACGAACAGACATGTGCTCTGTCGTTCCAAACCAGCAGAATCTAGACAAGAGCAACTTGGACTAGTAGATGCTGTGCACTTCCATGATCTCACACTCTTGGGCCTCAACAGTCAATTGATATGACTGTATTCACAATAGAAGGGGTTTGGGCCAGACCAATTTCTTCATAAATGCATGCAGACAATTGAGTTAAGGATTTTTATTTTTATTTTTTGAGGGGAAAGGGAGGATCCCTAAGGAGGAAGTGAGCCTCAAGTGTAGCCAATGAACTTGATCATTTAGCTTATGCAAAAAGAACATACACATTCACAGGTCTAGCCATACACAGGTGGCTAGAATCTAATCACAGGAGTGGGTGAAACCAGAGATAGCTACAGTGAATGTATAGTATTGCAAGATTTGCAGCAGTGTAATGAGAGTTTCTCCTCTTGAGAAAAACAGTACATCTTAGTTCTCCTCAAAAGGCAAAATAACTAACACTAAAGAAACCTATGTAAATAGTTGCCATCTCCAAGCATATGATTCCTTTGCATTGTTTTACTCACTTGTCATTCTTGTTCTTCTCTTGGTATCTGAATCACCCTTGTTACTATACATGAAAAACAAACAAAAAGAAGAAAAAGGAAAGTGTTTTAGCTAAGGAGGGTTATTTATTTTTAGAAATATTTTATTTGACTTTTGTTAAAATCATTGTGTTCTGCTTTTGTGTTCAGTAGAAGCAGGTGTAAATCTCTAAGAGTGAAAAACTTCATACTTTCTTGTAGGGTTTGATTATATTGATTTTTTCCTCTAAGAATTGTATTTACTAACTAAAATTTCCAGGTACCTGATAGATACTTCTTTTCATGCCTATCAGCCATACATACCATATTTGACTAAGAAAACCAGGTTACATTCTTTATTGATTTAAGACAAAAGAATTGGTAGGAAGTTCTAACATGCATGTCCCTATCTATGCAACACTAGTGGTTTCCAGTCTGTGTATTCACAATTGTTCAACTTCCATCCTCTGTCATCCTAAAGCCATATTATTACATAGTAGAAAATATACGTATTTCTAGTAATGAAACACTGATCATTCCTATGTATTTGCAAAGCCTGACTTTTGGGTTCTTGAACTGAATCTGTAGGACTGTTTTTTAACAAAAATTATTAACCAGAGAAATATGATCAGTTGCTCAATGAAAGACAACAAATACAGACCACTCTTCCCATGTCATTTTTATGTACCTGTGTGTAAAATAGAACTACAATAGTAATTATTATGGAATCTAGCAAAATCTAGAACCATAAAGACAAAAAAGATATATGAAACTGTGTTTGGGACAGTTTACCAGACCCGCTAAAGATTATGGAAAATCATTGCACATTACAGTGGCCTGCTTCTGGCAAACACACACTTGGTGTTATTTTTACACTTCAAACTGTATCAGACTTACCGATTTAATCTCAAGAGGTACATAGTAACCCATTCTGAAAATAACTTGTGTTTAGCCAGATCCTGTAGAGCCCAGAACTCCTAAAGAGAAAGAAACGGTTAATCGTGGGTAATCCAGTTTTTGCTTAACAGGAACAAAATTCTAAGTAAGAAAAGAAATACTAAAAAAGTAAGAGGGAAACATGACGACGCTTCAAAGAATTTTCTCTCCAACAATTCTACTAATATCTTCTCCTCTGTATTTAATTTAATTCTCTTGGTTAGCATGTTACATCTATATTAGTCCATCTCTGCTATGGCAAATTATATCTAAACACCTCCAACACTTCACCCCTATTTTTTCCTTAGCTTACTGTCTGACCTATTTTATTTCTTAGGCTACAAAACTACAGGTTTTACTTTCTTCTGAGTTTTGTACATGGAACAGATTGGTTTGTAGAGACTTTTTTCCAAAATTGTGGAATAAGGAAAATGTATTGATAAAGAAAGATAAGGTGTGGAGAGAAAAGGAAACTTATGGCTACAAGGATGGAGAAGACACAGAAGAATAGAGACAGGAGAGGAAGAATGGAGAGGAGACAGAACTTGGAAAAGACAAACAGAGAAAAACAACAGCTTCAGGTTACTGCTTCCAGTGTTGAACATCAACCACAAACTAGACTTCCCTGGATGACTACACTGAGCTAACAGCTGCTTCATACTGCTCAGTTGAGAGAAAGTAGCCAAAGCTCACAGACAAAAAAACCCTGAACTTTAGTGTAAGAACGAAATGGATACAGATAAAATCAGATAAACAGCAGATATACAAGAAAAAATGAGGAAAAGTTAAGTGAGGGAAATTAAAAGCAAGAACAAAACAAAGTTTTGATCACATCTGTGTTGGTTTTGGGTTTTTTTAAAGGGAGTCAAAAAATATGAAAACCACATCCGAGTATAAAAATGAGTTAAAACATTTCAGCCATATTTCTAAAAATACACTATATCCAGGTAAGAAGTTTATTTCTTTTAATACTCTCATCTCTTTAACGATTATCCTTAGTCCTGAAGAATAAGTTTAGGCTGAGTTAGCAGCAGCGCAGGATGGGATAGCAGGCTGAGCAGGACACTGACTAAATTTATTCCTGTGCTTTAAGCAAAATTTAGAACTGATCTTAAGCCCAAGAAAGGGCAGAGGCCACTATAAGCTGAGATTATAGCAAGAGTTTATGATGAGATGGGATCTTACTTGTCATTAGATTCCGAGACAAGCTGATGGGCCTGAGAGCAGATGTTTAGGTCACCTGGTAAACCCATGTTAGGAATAGTGTGATCAACCCAAGGTTGAAATTTTACTTATGAGCCCTGTCCAACTTCATTTGTGTCTCATGAAATACTATCAGAAGGTATGTTTTTAAGCAAAACAAACAAAAAAAGGGCAGGGAGGAAAGAAAGTTCTTTCCAGCAGACCCATCTTAAATGCAAAGAAAATCACATTCCCACCTGCGTATGAATATTTATAACTACTCACAGTGGACGTGTACCAGAGGCTGAAGATTTTACTTCAGCACTCTTCATTAATGTATCTTTCATTAGCACTCTTCATTAATGTACTAGACACAGGCTTAACATGGGGTGGTAGCATGACACACATATATTAGTCTCCCTGTCCCTTAATAATGCTACAATGACACATTTCCCAGGCAAATCATGGCTCAAGACATCTCTATTACACCAGGGTTATGTCCAGCCTGATTTACTCATTTTATATTAAGTATTCCTAAAACTGGATGCTTGTATTAATTAATACCTCAGGTATATGGAGCTCCTTTAGCTCATCTTCAGTAATTTCACTGAGATGTCGAAATGTCATTGTAAAATCAGCCTTTGTATCTTCCATAAGCTAGTGAAAAAAGATACTTCTATCAGAGTTTTTAAATGTATGGGGTATCAGTCAGGAAGCTTGCCAACAAAATTAGCAAAGCAAACTTACTTTTAGTAGGAAAGCAATCAAATAGCTGTCATCCTCATTCTCCCCAAGAAAACCCAATTTTGTTTTGAATAGTTCTGTGAAACTGAGAATAGTAACAAAATAAGGAACTTGTCACATAACATAATTTATAGTTTTGTGACTACGAGGTCTGAGTTCTGGAACTGCATACCGGCTGTAATAGTGCTCACCATATCCCTCCAAAATCTGGGAAGCTCTGCAAAAACAAAAGAAATGTCAAATTCTCTGGAACTACAATGCTACTGTGGGTACAATCCTACTGTACAGTAAACAATGAAAACTTCTTCTGTCTGATATCTCACATTAATATTCTGAATCAACTAGGATCTGTAGTGGGAAAAAGACTGAAGGGGAACATTTTAACAGGCTTCAAATGCATAAACATCTGCTACAAAGAAATAAAACACAATGTTCTTCCTTTTCATACTGAGTAAGAAGTCGTGAGTTTAAACCACACAAAAGAAGATTCATATTAGGAATCTTTTCAATATGGTATCAAAATACTACCTTATTACTTCAGAAGGATGTATGGTCTTCATAAGTAAGTATCTTAAAGAACAAGCTGGACAAGCTTAGAATAGAAAACCATAGGCAAAGAGAAAGGAACCTTGGGGAAACGAGAATGAATGGACCACATATCTAGGGCCGCCTTCCAGTCATATTCTGCTGTTATGACCAATTAAATCCTTTCTCCCTTCCCTCCATCTTATTCGGGCCAATCATTAATTCAGACTCAGTTTTCACTTAAAAAAGCCAATCCTTTTCTTTCCTATGCATATGGTGATTAGTGGGTCTCCCATCTCACTAGCTCTTTTAAGCATTAAGACATTTTAAGGATTACTTACAGCTGCTTTTGCCTGGGATCCAGTAAAGGTTTTAGAGCTTGTAACAGCTTGCTCAGATTAAACAGTCCAACATTTGCCTGGTTTCCTATTTTATACCTCTTTTCATCATCAGATGTGTTTGGAACAAAATCTGTTTCAAACAAAACATTACTTTTCCACAACAATTACAATAAACAATCAATGTTAAAATACTGAACTGTATTCATTTTTATACTTACACAGTAAACTAATAAAATCCCTAAAGTTACTAAATATTTAAAAACAGATCACAAGGATACCTATTTACAGTGGATTAACTCAAGATCTATTATTTGCAAATCTAAAGAACATATCTTTCACAGATGAGTTCCCATATGTCACAAACTACATTTTCCTACTTCAACTTACAAAATAAATTCAGATGTTTAACGAGAAAGAGATCATTTTTACACTACAAATAACACCTTGTTCTATGCTTCTCCTACATACAGTGCTACTATTTAGCACACAAAGTAAGCAAACAACTGTGCAACCAGAGCCAGGATTTACAAGAATTTTTTTGAAAAGCAACATGTATAAACATCTATTTAAATAAATTGACCACTTGATCAAGATTTATTTCACTTGTACATAAAGCAATCTTATGTATTCACATAAAAATTAGGGCTACCATGTTCCAGTATGCAAAGCCATCATTTGGGAGGTAACATCTGCTACGTAAGTTACCGGTATCCAGAAGTAAAATGTATGCATATCTACAGCACCAGTCTCTGAATGGATGCAGTATGAACCCCTTGCTCAGATCAAATGCAGATAAGATGATCAATGCACACAGCATTGCCTGAGTCCTCAGAGGACATTAATAACAAATAGAGTGTTAAGTAAGAGACCTGTGACACATCTGTCAGATCTGGTGATCGGTTCAAACCTGAATTTTAACCCTAAAGCATTTTATCTGGTTCCAGGGTGTACTGGCTCTGGCTGGGACAGAGTTAATTTTCTTCACAGCAGCCTGTATGGTGCTGTGTTTTAGACTTGTGACTAAAACAGTGTTGATGACACACCAATGTTTTAGCTATTGCTAAGCAATGCTTGCACAGCATCAAGGTCTTCTCTGTTATTCTGCGATCCCAGCGAGCAGGCTGGGGATGGGCAAGGGGCTGGGAGGGGACACAGCTGGGACAGCTGACCCCAACTGGCCAAAGGGATATTCCACACCACATAACACCATGCTTAGCAATAAAAACCAGGGGCAGTTTTTCCACTTGTTGCCTGGGGACTGACTGGGCACCAGTCTGGTGGTGGGAGGTGATGAGTGATTGCCTTTGCATTGCTTGTTGGTGTCATGTGTGTTCCCCCTCCTTTTTTTTTTTCCCCTTCACTTATTTAACTTATTTAAATGTATTTTGACTCATGAGCTTTTGCTCATCTTTGCTCTTCCAATTCTCTCCCCAACCTGCAACATGGGGGAGTGAATGAATGGCTGGTGGGTCCTTAATTGCTGACTGGGGTCAACTCACCATATAGAAAAAGATCTAAAACCAGTAAAGCCCTGTTTTTTCAATACAACAGAATCAATATAACATTTATTCTCGTGACATTTCCTTGATTTGAGGCTGCAGTCTTACAGAAACAAATAGCGAGATAACCACTGCTGGTTCTGAAGCTTACTCAGATGCAGCCTCCAAACAGTAATCTAATAATACGCATTTATTTATGTACATACTAGACCTATATCTATCAATCCCAGACTGAGTTCATACTTTCAAAGAAAGGTTGCCATGACCGAGTAGGTTTGATTTCTTTTCTTCCAACACATTTAGCTGCTGTGACTATAAAGCTAGAGCATGATGCATGTTAAGACACTGTATACCACTTTTGCTTTTGGTTGCTTACAACAATACACATTTTTTAGTCTTCCAGGTTTCTGTTGTAGCATCTATTCAACTGATGAAGTTCCACTGGGTTTAATAGTAATATTTCATTAACTTTAGCACTTGAAGTGCAACCTGTATAGTATATCATAAAACTGGCCTCTGATATAATTTTTTTCCCTAAAACTCTTCAAACAATACACATACTTGGGATTTTTCTGCTTATAATGTTAGGAGTTTTCATGCACACAAACTACAAAAATTAATATAAAGAACTCATTTTAAGTAAAAAAAATTATATTTAAAAACAGGTGCTACACTCACTTGGGTCATAGGAGTCCATAAATCCAAATGGACCATAATCTATTGTTATGGATAATAAACTGAAGTTATCTGTATTGCACACACCTGCAATTAAACAAGGTGAAACAAAAGTTAAAATTCCACTTGAACCCTGTAGTCTCAAGAAAATTTGCTGTAAAACAGATCCACTGAATCTAGAGAACTTGGAGCAGGTATCTTGCAGAAGTCAGACTCTGGAAAATAAATTTTCTCTCGCTCTTGACCTGGCATGCATTTTAAGTATGCAAATGAGAAACTGTTTGATACACTATCTTGCATCTGGTTTCCATACCTAGGTGGCACTGTTTCCTTTTGTTTTCAGTGCTATACCGTATTAAACAGCATCTTGCAAAGTGATAATTAGCTGCTTCCTTGCAAGTTGACTGGGTCCTGTAGTAGCAAGGCGCTGCCATTTTATTGTTCATAATATAAATCTGAAACAAAGGTGGACAGCACTGCATCCTATACACTATAAAAGCCCAGGTTTTTATGTAGATGCATCAAATTCAGAGCAATAAAACTTATATATGAAATCAATAGATGGTCTTTGTACATCAGACTATTACAACAGTTCTGAGAATTCTTGCTCCCCTATTCTCACTTCTGTCAGATACAAGCATGCTCTGAAAGATCAGAAAGAGCTCCTAACTCTGTTACAAAAAACCTTGTATATTAATGCATAACAGACAGTGCTGTAGGCAAGACATCAGAAGAAGTGAAGAACCAAGTGACAAAAGCCATCTTTGAGTATATGACTACAAAGAGTCACTCCTCTAAAGCCAATGCCATCTACTGCAGCTTACCGTGTGCAAACCCCACAGACATCCACAATGCAATCAGATTTGCAGTCTCTGATACGACTGTAGAGAAAAATTCCTAAAATCAAATACATCTTTTACTTCAAGTCCTCTGGATCAAAAATATAGAATACAATAAATATCATAAACATTTGACTCACTTTAGAAATAGGTCATGCATTCTATTTTAAATGCGTATCTCCTTCTGTCAGGACTTTTTATTCACATTCAAAATGATGTAACTGCACAATAATCTTACTCAGCAAAGACTGAATTAAATTCATTAAGTACATATAGATGCCCTAAAAGAAATTTGAAAGTCAAAAAAAGAAACTAAGACTCTGTTTATAGTGTATATACTATATATACTAAAAGCATAATCCATTGCTTCATGACCACCACTCACTTAAAATCTGAGCAGTAAGACAACAAAAAATAACAGAAAAATGGAAGCTTCCCAATAAATATTTCCATAATGAAAAGTGGTGAATAATGTTCATATCTGAGGAAAAAAAACACCAAGAAGCAGATTTTTACTGAAGAGAATTAGCCAACTTTTGCTAATAAAATCTGGAAGCTTACTTCAAATTTTAAAACCTTTTAAAACTTGAAAATTTGAAAAGCTTTATATAATTTCTGTTCACATTCTTGTGGAAAATAACTTAGAAAAGACTTACCAGATATCTATTTGAATCATTCATGGCTATTGATGGAAAATGTTCCTGAATGATGAAGTCTAGCAATCTTCTGTAATAGGAGAGGCAGAATTTTTTAAAACAAAACTGGCACTTTCAGAACTGATAATTCGAAATTCTTGTTTTCAAACAGCTAAATGCTGACTGACAGCTTGCTGCAAACAGTTATTAGAAAACTCAGTCTGCTTATCCCAATGAGTCTTGGATTAAGGCCTTCCAAATGCTTAGAGATAAAACCTAAGGTTCCAGTCATAAATATAACTGGAGACTGCCACGTAGAGTTAACATTATTCCCACATGTTAAACTTCCGAAGCACACCAGGATCTGGTTTCACATGTAGTAATAGCAATTTTTTAGGGGAAAAAAAAAAAGTTTGTGTATCCAAAAAAAGCAGTATATGATTACAAGGAATAATTCTCCATCAGCATCCTCACAAAGAAAATTTTATGGCTGAATTCTTACAAAGTAGGGTTACTTGCCATAGTAACTGGCCATTCCCATAACAGTGCTGCATAGTCCTACAAGACAGGCTCAGGAAATTGGGACGAATGCACTGAAAAGTGTAGTGCCTATCAGACGCATATCTTTGCAGACCTAAAGCTTTAAAGCAGAGCAGCTGGCATTTAGTACATTTAAGTGCTCTCTGTAAGACTCTCTTGTGGTCAGAGCCAGCCAGTGCTGCTGGCACAGGAAACTACGCAGCCTGGGTAAGGGCCCGACCTGGGCAAGGGTTGTGCAGCTGCGTGCACAAGTATCTAGATTTTACCTTCCTATCAGGTTGTTGGAGCAAATCACTGACTCTCCTCAAACTGTGATGATTTTATCCGAGTATCTAGCAACTTGACCTTAGATGGGTGTCTAACCTATTGCCTCTGAATTTTAGCTGGTTACTCCAGGACATCCTCTTTCAGGAGGACCTTCTCAGAGGAGACACAAAAGCACAGACAGTCACACCAGCCTTGGCCTGCTCTTGGCCACTCTTTCTGAGGCCCCCTCCAAACCAGACAGGAAGCAGTCATCTATTTTGAATGAGTTCAAGTGATCTTTATGTGCTCCTTAAATCCAATGGGTCATAAATACTTTAACAAAAAAACAAAACAAAACAAAACTTAAAATCAGTTCCTTAATTGCCTTTCAGCTCTACAACTAAAATCTGCTGTGAGATTTAAAAAAAAAAAAAAAAAAAAAGGAAAGACAGCATAGAGCAATGTGGAAAATTAAACTGAATTATCAGTTACTACAACTGCTGCTATAAACTCTTGCTTGTTTTTACACACTCCAGAACAATTTCTATTGCTCCTAAGGAGAAATTACCAACTTTTAAATATTTACAGCAGACCTAAAAATCTGTCACGCTGATTACTGACACACAAATTAACATTGCTAAGAGGCTTAAAACTGCAATAATTTCTTACCTAGTATACTTCTCTGGTTCTGCATGTTTCTATAGAGCATACTTTATACAACATACTTATGCTTGTAATTTATTTAGTATTTCTGTTAATTTAGCTTCACAGACAACTATGACAGACAAAAAACTCATCCCTAGAGCTTAATTACCAGAACCATTTCAGCTATAAAACCTTTCTCATTTTGTAAGATCCAGGCCTTCAAAAACATCTAAGGGGTTTTACCCTTATGAGGCTACATCCTTTGTAAGCTGGTATAAAGACAGCAGGTTATCTTTCCAAATTATGCAATTTTCCTTTCTAACTAATTTATGTCTATATTCCAACTGCATATATGCATTCTAATATATATTTGATTGTCAAGAAAACTAAGACAGTTACTATGAAGATTAAATTCAAACCTTTGTAAGTCCAGTTCCCCAGAATGCGCTAAGATTTCTAAGGATCCTATACGAAACCATGATTTGGCAAGACGCAGCACTATTGCACCTTAAATACAGACATGTGTTTAAATGTAAACAGAGTATCAGCAAAATAAAAGTTCCATAGTAAAAGCTGTCATGTGTTGTTTCTATATACACAGACTTTAAATATGCATAGTTAAACTGGTATTTTTGTAAGTATGCTCAACACATAGCAGATGAATCTGTATATTACTCTATTACACATACATTTTAATGACAAAACCTGATTTGCTATACCAGCAAACACGGGCAAAATTCCAGTACTCTGGAGTAATAACAGAATTACTCCACAGCAATTCTAGCAACAAAGAAAATACCAACATAAATAGATTTTTTTATCCTGTGCTGTGCCATCCCACTCTTTTTCAAAGCAGGTGTAGATGATGTAGCATCATCTGTGGCACAACCACAGTAACGTTCCCACTATCCTGGCATTGCTGTTGGAACAATGGAAAGGTTCCCCAGTTTTTCAGTATCATTTTTGTAATGGCAAGTGAAAATAAAAACTACCCCCCTACAACATATATGCTAGAATCATAGCAGACCTGTTCATAGGGCTTAATTTCTTTTACAAAGATACATTTCAGACTGATTTTCTCAGGAGAGGTTTTCTATCTCAATAAATGAAAATAAAGTCTATTTAGCACTTTTTATTACACATATATGACATTGAAATTTATTTTTGCAATAGAGAATTAAGTTACTGTTATAACATTATTTTGAAATGTGTTCATTACCTCTTTCTTTCTTAATATTTCCATTGTAAAACTGATCTCTCCACACATCATCATCACTTACAACTAAGCTGTAACAAACAAGAAATGAACATTAAAAAGTTATCTCAGGAAAAATAATTTACAATGAAGATCAAGTCATATTTTATTAATTTTATTTATTTACTTGATAAAAAGAAAGATCTTTTTGCTGGCATAGCTTTGTATTTACAAGGCAAACAGTAAGCCCAGGCTTACCAAGATTGACTAGCAAGATGCATTTATTTTGCATTTATATAGTGTTGTCCAATTTCCATCACTTACACTGTTCTTGGGGAGGGTGTTACATTCATTTGGAATCTCAGTGACTACTTACACAGAATCATCTAGGTTGGAAAGGACCCTGGAGATCATCCAGTCCAACCGCTCGCCTAGCACAGTTCCCACCTACAGCATAGCCTTAAGCTCTAAATCAATCCTACTCTTGAACACCTCCAGGGATGGGGACACCCACCACCTCCCTGGGCAGCCCATTCCAACGCCTAACAACCCCTTCTGGAAAGAAATGCTTCCTAATATCTAGTCTGAACTTTCCCTGGTGCAACTTGAGGCCATTCCCTCTTGTCCTGTCGCTTTCTACTAGGCTAAAGAGGCTCATCCCCAGCTCTCTGCAGCTTCCTTTCAGGTAGTTGTAGAGGGTGATAAGGTCTCCCCTCAGCCTCCTCTTCTCCACATTAAACAATCCCAGTTCCCTCAGCTGCTCCTCATAGGACATGTGCTCCAGACCCTGCACCAGCTTTGTAGCCCTTCTCTGGACACGCTCGAGTCATTCAATGTCCTTTTTGGAGTGAGGGGCCCAAAACTGAACACAGTAATCAAGGTGCGGCATCACTAGTGCCGAGTACAGGGGGTGAGATCCCTTCCCTGTCCCTGCTGGCCACGCTATTGCTGACACAATCCAGGATGCCATTGGCCTTCTTGGCCACTTGGGCACATTGCTGGCTCCTGTTCAGCCGGCTGTCAATCAAGCCCCCCAGGTCCCTCTCTGACTGGCAGCTCTCCAGCCACTCCTCCCCAAGCCTGTAGCGCTGCTGGGGGTTGTTGTGGCCCAAGGGCAGCCCCCGGCATTTGGCCTTATGGAAACTCACACAGTTGGCCTCAGCCCATGGCTCCAGCCTGTCCAGGTCTCTCTGCAGAGCCTCCCTACCCTCCAGCAGATCAACACTCCTACCCAACTTGCAAACTGACTGAGGGTGCATTCGATCCCCTCCTCCAGATCATCAATAATGATGTTAAACAGGACAGGCCCCAAAACCAAGCCCTGGGGGACACCATTCCCGACCAGCCACCAGCTGGATTTAACTCCATTTACCACAACTCTCTGGGCCCGGTCGTCCAGCCAGTTTTTTACCCAGCAAAGTATGTGATTGTCCAAACCTCGAGATGTCATTTTTGCCAGGAGAATGCTGTGGGAAACAGTGTCAAAAGCCTAAAGTCAAGGTAAATTACATCCACAGCCTTTCCCTCATCCAATAAGCAGGTCACTGTCATAGAAGGAGATCAGGTTTGTCAAGCAGGACTGTCTTTCATAAACCCATGCTGACTGGGCCTGAGCATCTGGTTGTCACACATGTGTTGCCTGATGGTGTTTAGGATGCGCTGCTCCATCAGCTTCCCGGGCACCGAAGTCAAGCTGACAGGCCTGTAATTTCCTGGATCATCCTTCCGACCTTATAGATGGGCGTCACATTGGCCAATTTCCAGTCAGTTGGGACCTCCCCGGTCAGCCAGGACAGCTGGTAAATGATAGAAAGTGGCCTGGCGAGCACCCCAGCCAGTTCCTTCAGCACCCTCGGGTGTATCCCTTCTGGTCCCATAGACTTGTGTGTGTCTATGGGATGCAGCAGGTCACTGACTGTCTCCTGGATTGCAGGGGGTCGTTCTCCCAGTCTCTGTATTCTGGCTGTGGAGGCTGAATTTCATCAATACAACTAATCTTGTTATTAAAGACTGAGGCAAAGAAGGCATTAAGCACCTCAGCCTTCTCCTCATCACTTGTTACCAAATTGCCTCCTGCATCTAGCAGGGGATGGAGACTCTCCCTGGACTTTCTTTTGCTACTGACATACTTACAGAACCTTTTCTTGCTTAGTGTGATGACAACAGTAAATAAGTCATAATTTCCCTGAGAACAACAGCAAAATTAGAAGGAAAAAGAAATTAGCAACCGAACTGTTGCATCAGATGGAGGTTGCCCTTTTACATGAGGCAAAATTGTTGTCTCAGGAACTTCAGGGACAGATCGGGGACCCTTAGCAATCAGGAGCTCTTCAAATAGTATCAACACAGAAAAAAAGTCATAGCTTTAAAATACATTATAATTATCCCTTTATTCTTCACTGCTACTTGAACTTGGATTTTTAAAAACAATCTGAGGTGGTAGATGCCCCATCCCTGGGAATATTCAAGGTCAGGCTGGAGAGGGTTCTCAGTAACCTGATCTAGTTGAAGATGTCCCTGCTTATGGCAGGGGGGTGGGACTGGATGACACTCCAATGCCCCTTCCAACCCAAATCATTCTATGATTCCAAATAGTTGGGTGGCATGCTATTTGAGATTTAATGTGGCTACTTACAGGTGCTATCTATTAGGTAGTCAAAGACTGCACAGAAGACAGAACCAAACCTTCCTTGGAGGTACACAGAAAATAACAAGAGGCAAACCTAATCTTCCACTCATAAATATGACTAAAGACAATCAGAATTAAACCAACTCCAAGTGTGAAATTCTGAGTACACTAGAGTCTTGTTTTACATACTTTAGCATCAAAATTTTAGAAATAATTAACCAAAAATGCAGGGTATACATATAAACACATATATGTACAAAAAAAATCATGAAAAGGAATCTTAATTCTTATACAGTGCAGTTTGCAACACTAACTGTGGCTTTGAAAATAAATTATGATGATGATGATGTTTGGTATCTCTGAAGGTATCTAGTAGCTATCCAAACTGAATGTTCTCTGTTGACTGCAAAGAACAAAGAATTGTTCTAGGAGGGAAAAAGTGTCTAGAAATCAGTCTGCTGCTGTTACTGGAGCTGTACTGAAACAAGCAACATTAGGAATTTTTTTCAAAAAAACCTCTTTTGGAAACAATCATGTATGATTGGTATGTCTGTAGGATTACATACAAAAAATGCTGACATAAATGTGATAGAAGAAGAAAATCTTAACCCTTCAAGAAAAATTTTCAAAAGCAGGAAATGAACCCCAGATACTAACAAACTATTGTGTTAATCAGAGCAGTAGTGGGCAGGAGACATAATAATAATGCTACTAGATTTACTGTTCTGGACAGACCTCTGCCAGAAGAGCTGTTTCTTTTGGACTATGTAACTCTTAACAGGTTCTCTGCAAAATTCCTGCAGAATACGAGCACTTCTCTTATTACTGACAAAAAAAAAAAATAAAATCCATGGGGGCATCAACATTTGGTTAGTTACTAATACAAGTTAATGGACATGCACCACTTAAGAGCTGGCCAGATAGCTGAGCAGCTATATAAAGATACATACATTCTCACTACAAAAATAATTTCCAAATGGTCTCTGTAGTTGGTAAGTACCATTACTTGAGAAAAGGCAGCAGGAGACCAGATGTACACTCAACCACAGGAAACGGAGAACTGAAATTGCTCTTACACCAGAGAAGCTGGAACAGCACTCACAGAAGGACAGATGTATTATATCCCTCTCTGCCCCCGGCTCCAGTTGAAGGGCTGCAATTTACACTCTCAAGTGCTCTGCTTGCTGTTTTGCATGAACATCAAGCCCTATGCAAGTAAGGGCCACTCTGAAAACTATGTATATTGGCTCTTTTTTTTTTTACCTAATGCATATCACTGCTCATTTGTAGTCACAGTATTTGACTAAAATGGTACCATATGAAGAAGTGTTCTTTATCTGGCAGTACAGTCATAAACTGTAGCACCCCATTGGGAACGCAGCACTTAAAATTAATAGAGCAAACCAACCTGCTGGGTGTTCTGTAATAAGCCGTAAGGCATTTCCCCACACTTCCGCCAAGACTTGACAAGACCTCTGTAAGTGCATCCCGCCAGTCTCAGCACAACAGCTCCCCATCGGGAAAAATATGGATATCAGCTGGGTTTTTTCCAAGTCAAGTCTTAAAAACAGTCTGGAGAGCTTGTACAGCAGTTAAGAGGGCCAGGCCTTTAACCAATTTGACAGCAGAGAACTAAAGCACACTGTGTACTCAGTAGAATTTGTGCACAGTTAAGGAGAAATTTCATATTGCTTTTGCACTGAACAATTTCTTGAGACGACAGCAAAGAAAGGTTATAACCTTGCCAGATGCCTTCCTGCTGATATTCAGACAGATTTAAAGTTTTGTGTTAACAACCCACAGCAAATGGTCTCAAGGTGAAGTCAGCGAATAAACTATCAAAAATGTCATTTAAAAACACAGCACTTCAACAAAGCAAATGTGATAGAGTTAATGCTAGAGAGATTTGCAGACACTTTGCAAATGCAGACACCTTAGCCACGTGGCAGCTGAGTACAGGCCTTTTCTGCAAAACGTTTTACTTTCTTTAAAGCCTGAAATGCTGGAGTAGACATGAGACTACTTGGAAAACAAAACGAACTTGACATTTTAAACACAATCATCTGAAAAATTCAGTTTACTTTATTCTGAGAAAATCACCCAAATGAGTGAATATATCCTTGGTTCAAACAGAATTAGTTTTAAATTATTTTTTTATGAAATCTCCCTATCTGCTCAAGAGGTGTCTGAACAAATAAGGAATTGAGAACAATTACCTACATTTAGTACTTCCTCCAGTATTAATATCTATTCATCTGACAGACAATTTTCCCCACCGATCTTAAAAAACTGCAACTAGGTGACTATGACAACACAGAAATAGCCACTTTCAACATTTTCCTACTTGGCCTGATTCTAGAAAAAATCATCCAAATGCTTAATGTTAGTGCAATAAAAGACTCACTTATTAACCATGTAGACTGTATTAACAGACCCACTGATTATCCACATACACTAAAGGCACTATAATTACAGGGCAGGAATCTAGTCCTCTTGTTTTTCCAAGTCTTTTGGTGAGCAACAAGGGAGAGAACAATTTTATTTTTTAAAGAGAAGAAAATCTTGATCGCAGTATCAGAAAAGCTGGAAAAGGGAGTTAGTGTCAGATATAATCACTCAACCTAACTTCCACTTTTTTCTTTCTTTACAAATGAACTGGATTTCAAATTAAGGTAATTCAGTTGAGACAGTCTTCCAAGTGAGCAACAGCTGTTACCCTAGGACACAGACAGTACACAGTATCTATCCAATTTAAACAAAGCAGTACTTTAAAGCATTCCAAAGACAAAAGTGAGGGATGTATTTTGTTCTGATTACACACATATGCAAAGAAAGATCTATCCTCTTGGAAACTAACTGTCCTACTTATTGATGCTCACTGAAACTCAAGTCCTAAAATTACCTGTAAATTAGGATGCTGTGAAAAAGAAAAGAAAAATACCTAGCAGCTCTGCTTGTAGGAATTCCAAGATAGTGCATGGCCTCACTACACAAAAATTCTCTCAGGGAAGAGCGAAGCACAGCTCTTCCATCACCATTCCTATAGAGACCAGAGAAATAAAGAAAAGGTCATGAAATCAAAACCATTTCAAACAGAAAACATCCAGTGTTGGTGTACATTGCTTAACTGCACTTACCTGGAGTATGGGGTCTTTCCTGACCCTTTTAACTGTAGTTCCCACCTCTCACCGTGCCTGCAAAAACACCATTAGGTTTCATAACAGCACACCTCGGGCTATTCATGAATCAGCCAATAGAATACAGAGTTTAATGAGTCACTTAAAAAGAAGGCACACCTGTTTGTATATACTCCCATCAAGTGGGCTCTTCCATCACCCAGCTGACCTGCCCAGCTACCAAACTGACAAAAATTAAAATAATTTTCTTACATCATTTACAGCACTTATACTTGAAACAGTACAAATTACATGTAGGTTCTCTATGATCTACACAATGTAATAGCACATTTGCTCAGGCAGTCATTATCCCTAAAGATGCATTTCCACACTTGCATCAGTAATGAATCAGAAAACCACAGAAAAAGAATAACACCAGTAATCCCCAGTTTTTCTCTACCTTCCAGCTATGATATACAGCTACAGCCCTGTCTCTTTTGTATAATGAGCCTTTAAACTGACAAAGCTTGTAATTTATTTTTTTTTAATGGGAAATTACAAATCAAATTCTACCATTCTTTTCCTTGAATAATCTTACCTGTTTCAATGCAACTTAACTCAGTAATCATGGTATTGCAATGAGCCTCTGTCTTTCTTCACTCCCCTGAGTTGGTAATACCTATCATGAATCAGAGCTTGTCAGGCTGCAGGGGTGCTAAGCAGACTCCACAGCTAATGGAAGTTATAAAGATAATTTGCTTCTGGCATAAACAGAAGCAGAGAAAGTAGACATGGTACCATGAAAGAATATTACAGTTCTCTTCCATCTGCAGCCCCTTATGAAAAACAAATATGCAGGTAAAATGTTAAGTGTTCATATACTTACAGGCATTATCAAGGTATAATTGACATGAAAAGACCTACATAATCCCACCTGGAAGAACAAGTGCCGTAGTTACCTGATGACCCCCATACCTATGGGCCAATGGAACTGACCCAAGCAGCACTTTCCCACCACTGACAAACTGAAGAAAATCAGATGTTCCTTTGACAGATCTATCAAGATCCAAAATATTTTCAAGAACTTCCTGGAGAAAAACATAATACAGATGGTACCTGAATATGATCAAATTTTCAGGGGTAATGAACATGTTATCTCTACAGATTTCGTTATTAAAAGACTTCTCACAATATGTCTTAAATGTTTTGTTTCGAGTATATACTGATAAGATGCTTCCATGATAAATAGCATATCAATATTAAAATATATTTTAGTACATGCATCAACAGTCTCTACTAGAGAGGGACAAAAAAATAATAGCCAACCTCTGAAACAGCTACAAGACGAACTCTCGATTTAAAAGGTGTAGGATAGACAATTGAAAAAATGCAGTTTCTCACATTACGGACATAGTTTTCCTGGATCACATCAACTGGAAAAGACTCTGTAAACATGAAACAGACAATAAATGTTTTTGAAAAAACAATTATTAATTTTATTCTTAAAAACTTTCCTCTTAAATCCTATCAAATTACTTCAGAAACAATTAAAGCCCTACTCTTTGCCACAATCTGAAAATCAAGCCCAAATGACTTTCGGATTTTATTCTGTTTAGGATTTTTGAAAAGAAGGATTGAATTCTGCAGTTAAAGAAACTGCTAGGGCATGATAGTTTTAAGATCTAAACCATGTTTAAGTAGAGTCATTTAAGTGTGATTAGAACAGTCTCAGGGCAGTTTTATATTGCACTCAGTTCTGTGCAACCTTAAAAGATATTTGCGTGAGACAGAAAGGCTCAGCTACCCCCACAGCTGAATGATGTAGTGCAACAGAATAAGTCACTGTGCACCAGTAACTGGTATACAGTCCATATGCAGTGATGATCACCAAGTAACCTAAGAAACCAGCTTGAAGTCTTCTCTGAGTAACTCAGAGAATGAAAAGGTCAGAAGATGCAGTTCTTGCTGTAGCATAACATATGTACTCAAAAGATGTGCTTCGTACTTCCTTCAGACCTACTCTGCGCCCTGATCCATGGTAACAGAAGGCAATTTTAAAACACTGGACTAAAACTGTTTGGTTTAGTATCTTTATGGATTTTTGCTTGCAACCTTCTTACGATTCCATGTTAATTATAAAATCCCAGTCCCTCATAGTCACCATTTTCTAAAAATTCTAAGTTCTCTGGAGACTTGCTGTTAGGCACGTTTCTCAATACCTCCTAATGACAAATCCTGTTATAGCCTGATGCCCCAAGATTTATCACTGTTTATTGCTTAATACTTGCAAGTAATTGCATCACCTGAAGAAATTATTTGTTACCATATAAATTATCTTTATTACTGCAAGCAATTTTGTATGCCTGAGAGTTATACTGCTTTGTGTACCTCAAATCAGCTGTCAGGTTATCGCCATTACAATAAACGACTAATACAAAAGGGGGC